AGCCCGGGCTCCGCGGGGCTAAGGGGCCTCGGGAGCCCTGGGGGGGTCGCTGCCACCGCCGCCTCGGGGAGCCCCGCGTGGCGGACACTGCAGCAGTCACCTTCCTGAGACGCCCCGAACCTGCTCCGCCCGCAGCTCGGTGCGCTCTGGGTACCCGGGCGCCTTGCCCGGTGCACGGCGGCTGGCGCATCGCGGCGAGGTCGGCTGCGGGAAGCCGGGTGCAGGACTGGCTAGAAGGGTGTGTGTGCGCGTGTTGGACTGGAGATCCGGGCAGAAGCTGAAGCAGGCGGACCTGAGCAGCCATGCTTCCCGGGGTGGGCGTGTTCGGCACCAGCCTCACGGCCCGTGTCATCATCCCGCTGCTGAAAGACGAGGGCTTCGCGGTGAAGGCGCTGTGGGGCCGCACGCAGGAAGAAGCGGAGGAGCTGGCCAAGGAGATGAGCGTCCCCTTCTACACTAGCCGCATCGACGAGGTGCTGCTGCACCAGGACGTGGACTTGGTGTGCATCAACCTGCCGCCGCCCCTCACCAGGCAGATCGCTGTCAAAACCCTGGGTGAGCCACCCCTCCCCCTCTCCCCTCCAGCCTTCTCTCCGTTCCGTCCCCGCTTCCTTCCTCCTGTCGCCCCCTCCACGTCCAGAAGCTCACACTGCGTCTACACTGTCTCGGGGATCTGAGATTCCAGATCCCACTCGGAGCTCTCTCCTTCCTCATCCCCGGCCTTGCCGCCTCTGCGCCTCCGTCCTCCCTCCGGCCACCACCTGGACGCGCCTCCCCACGTGTGTGGCGTGGAGGCTGGAAGAGGCATGTGTTCCGGGGATGGGAACGAGGCGAATCACACACCGAGAACAGGGGATGTGTTGCTCGGCGGGGAGAGGAAACTTAGTCCCCAGCCGTGTGTGTAGTGCCCGAGTGTGTGCGTGCGTCCCTGCAGAGGCCAGTGCGCGCCCAGAAACGCCGGAATAAAGGGTCGCGCACGTGTCTTGGGTTTTCCTGGGGTCTATAGAGTGAGTACCTGCTGTTCAGCAGCTGTGGCGCCCTGCTAGGGTCGTTTGTTTCTGCTGTGGGTTAGTGTAGTGTGAGATTGGAGACGTGACAATTGGCTTTAATTATGTCGTCTGCGCTGGAGGCAAGGATAGCGGGAGTAGTTGTTGGATTGGGGGGTGGATAGCTATTAGGACATTTTCAGGTGTCATGGGTTAGTAAAGACTGATTTGGTAGAACCAGAGGGATTTAACTTTTGAGGGCAGCCTCCCGGGAATTGTGTTCTGCACCTGTTTGGAGTAATCGTCAATGTTTAGGGGATGGGCGCAGTAGTTCCAGAGGCATGGACGCTTTGAGTCAGAAAATGCCAAACGCTGCCAGTTCCATTTGGAAGCATTTGATGGTCCCTCCTTAATTCCCTTCAGGAGTAGTTCCCAGGCACGGTGTTGACAAGCGGGCTGCGGATGAGTTCACTGCCCCTCACCATCAGGTCCCCCCACCCACGCCCTGGCAGCCTGAATCATCTCTGATCGCAGAGTATCGGCCTCTCTGCAGTGCTCAGGGAAAGAGAGGTGCTTGTTTTGTCCATTATCAGTTCTCACACATACCTCCAGCAATCCCAGGACGATTGCTCGCTCCCTCCTAGGCCAAGAATATTAATCGTCCATCCTTGAAAGTTGGGGTTTTTATTGGTGAGGAAAGAGACAAAGCTTATAACAAGATGTCACACGAGAGCAGAAGGGGAGAACGGGGAAGGAACAGGGACGGAATCCAGAAACCAACTGTAATTTATATAGTCTTGGAAAGAACGTTTATTAAAAAAAAAAAAAAAAGTATGGGTTCAGGGTAGGTGAAACGTACATGTATTCCAATTTTATCTTCAAAGACCTATGAACAGAATATAGAACTCTTTCTCCATAGAAAACCGTTTTTATCAGGCCGTTTGGCTGTTGACTCGATGGGACACCTGATAGAATTCCTAAGGAGGCTGCCCAAGGTTGTTCGTTTTAACGGTAATTTTATGAAGCTTCTGGCCTTTGCATCCTGGTGTCTTTGGCCTTGAAAGCAATTGAGTTCTGGCTGATATTTCTTTTGTGTTTGATGGAACATACATGTTGGGTAGCTAACTCCCTAGTTTACACTGGATCTGTGTATATCAAATAGATTATAACCATATAGAGCATAAATCTAATAGGGCAATTTGTGTAAAACCAGTCCCTCTTGATCCCCCTAGAGCGCTTAGGACTGGTCATATCGGAAAGACCTTGTTGTCACATTGCTTCTCCCCTTTATGGCAGCACAGTCCTGCACATCAAAACCACAGAGCAAACCTAGAGCAAGAGAGGGCAATTTTGGGAACAAGGATGTTCTTAATTTTCTAACCATCTCAGGTACTTTAGCCATGAATGTATTTGGGGGCTCTGGCTTAAAGAGATGTGACACAAATTATACATTTCTAGATACTTCTGTTCTTATTGTCAAAAATCCCTATGACTTTTTTCATTGACAAGACTAATTTGAGTTACCTCTTCCAAACCAAGTGTAAGAGGTATAATAGACTAAGTTTAATAACCATGACTAAGGAATAGGGTTTTGTTAAGGTTTTTGGGGTAGGCTTTGGGCTTTTTTTCCCTTCTGCCCCACCCCCCCTTTAAACTCCTTTTGCAGGTAATTCAAGGTAGTCTGTGATGATAAAAAAAATGTGGAGGCATTGGATTTAGATGTGACTAGACTTTAGTCTTGTTGGGAACTTCATCTTCACTGGAAGACATCTGGACGAGGCTGTCCTTGGTTGCACCTGCGAGTACACAGTGGGGTGGTCGTCTTGGTTTGCTTCAGTCAAAATTAGAAATTCAACACACACAACACAGGAAGTGAAAAACCCCAAACAGTTATCAGGCTGGTCTGGCCGTTGGGGGTTTAGATACTAGTGTTTGCCTGGAATTTAAATGAGCCAATCTTTGAGTAGTCTTGGTGAATTGTCCTTGTTTTAGCAAATGCCTGGGCTTTGAGTTGCTTGCCCAGCAATGGCAATAGATCTGTACCTTTGAACCATACTTGTATCTGGCCACAGGAGGTGCTCTAGGGACTGTAGAGGAATGAAACTTTGAAACAATTAAATCACATACATCTTCCTTTAATTTCAGAAAATTGCTTTGAAATTCCTACCTTAGTGAACTAGGTAGGCATTTCTCTGGTGTAGAGACATTTCTGCCGTGTATAATTTCTGCACTGTCCATGACTGCCTCTTATTAAGTACCTACTGTGTGCCAGGCAGTGTGGTAGGTGCTTTGTATAAAGCATTTCATTTCAAGACTAAAATCATCCTCTAAGTTAGATATTAGCTTTATTTTACAGATGAGGCAACTGAGATTCAGAGATTCAGAGTCAAATTGCTCAAGGACATTTCTAGAGATTTGAACACATCACTCTGCCTCCCCCAGAGTCATTTCTACCTCTCCCCGCTCTGCACCTGCTTCCTTGCTGCAGTTGCTTCTGTCAGATAATGAGATTGTTCAGCCCCAGTGAGGTGGTTGGAGTTGCCCTTCATTCCTTTTTACCCCACCCATGGAATCAGGTCCCAAATCTGGGTGATGCTGTCTCCCGAATCCCTCTGTGTGTGTTCTCTCTTCAGCATCACCACTTCCCCCATACACGTCTGGGTTTGTACCTGTTTCTGAATTAGGCTCTAGCCCACCCCTGCCCGCCTCTGCCTCTATCCACCCCCCACACTGCTGCCAGTTCTGTTGGGGAACTACAGCCTGGCCATGTCACCAATTCCCCTTTCAAAGGCTCCCCATCACTTCCAGGAAAAGCCCCAACCTCTTGGCCTGAGAGGCAAGAGCTTCCTTCTGCTGCGCATCCTCATGTCCTGCTGGCTGTTCCAGAACCCCACAAGCTTCCGCTAATCCCCTCTGCTGGTGTTTCCTTGAATGGGCCCTGCTGGCCCATGTGTCAGTGCCTCTGTCAGGAACACCCTTGTCCCTTGCTTGTTTGTCCTTCAAGTCTCAGCCCAAGTGTGACCTCCTCCTGGAATCCTCCTCCTTCCTCAGCCCCACCCCCACACACCCTCCTGTGTTCTTAGCACCATGTGCCCCCAGCTTCTCTAGCACCTATTGTAATGCATTTGTTTAAAATTTAAATTTTATTCAGTTATTTTGAATAGTTTATGTATTCACATGGTACAAATTTCAAATGTTAAAAAAGTACCCAGTGAGGAGTAAATGTCCTACATTCCCTGTCCCCTAACTGGAGGCAGTCACTATTACCAGTTTTTTATGACTACTTTCCAAGATTTTTCTGAGTATATATGGCAGGTATGTGTGGGAGGATTTTAAAAACCTTTTCTACATGATTGTTAACATTCCATTCACACTGTTATGTACCTCGCTTTTGCCATGCAACAGTGTTACTTTGAAAATTTATATATATTAGAATTTTAATATTATCTTGATAATTTATTTATACCTATTAAATTTATGTATATTATTTATACATATTTGCACACATATGCATTTGCATAAAAAACATGTGTGTATATGTATATGGCATACATACATTTAAATATATATAATATATGTTATATATATATACGTATAAGTGTGTATGTATATATATAAACAAAAAAGTCAGAAATGTGAAAGTATTCTTGTTTCTATTTTTTGCTGCATAGTATTTCATTGCATGGATAAATCAAAATTTATTTAACCAGTTCCCTATTACTCAAAATTTAGCTTGTTTCCAATCTTTTGCTTATGCAAACATGCAATGGATAATCTTGAGCATATGTCATTTTGCAGACATGCCAGTCTGTTTGTAGGATAAATACATGAACTGCTGGTCAGAGAGCATGTGCTCATTTCATTAACAAAGATATTGCCAAATTAACTGGCGCCAGAAATGACACTGCATTTTGTCCATTTCCTTGTGTGCCTCTCTCCCAGCCCCTTGACTGCCAGGTGCCTGAAGGCAGACTGGGATGGTCTCCTCCACCTTTGTGTCCAGAGTAGCATGGGGCTCAGGGCCAGCACAGTGCCCCAGCTAGCCTTTGGGGACAGTCAAAACATGTGTCCAGTTTGTCCTCTGCAGCCATTCACTCCACCTAGCTGCCCAACTGTCTTCCAGCTCCAGTCTTGTTTATTATCCAGTCTATCTTCTATGCAGAAGGGAAAGTGAGTCAGTCAGTCTGTCTATCCATCTATCTATCTATCTATCTATCTATCAGTCAATCAATCAATCAATCAATCAATCACCGTGTCACTCTCTGCTTTCAGGGGCTCCCATGGCACTTGGAATAACATCCAATCTCCCTACTGTGGCTTACGTGGCCTCAAACGGCCCTGCCTCAAACTTCTCTTCTTCTCTCACCCCTCTTCCACTTGGGCCTCTTCTCTGTTCCTCAAACACACCAATCTCTTTCCTGACTCTGGGCTTTTGCACTGGCTCTCGCCTTTGCACTGGCTCTCGCCTTTGCTTGGAAGGTTCTTCCCTCACTTCTTTGCACATTCTCACTTTCAAGTTTCAGCTCAAATGTTAGTTTGGGAGAGAGGCCTTTCTGGACCGTCCTTTCC